ACAAATTTGACCTAATTTTAATAATTAATCTAATCATAATTAGACTAATTTAAGACCTCTTTAAACCCAAAAATTTCTCTAAAGAATTTAATTACACCATCCAACTCAAGTTTAGACCTAATTTTGACTTTATAACACTTAACCAATTTTCCATTGGTTTTAATTTCATAATATTTGACTTAACTCTTTTAATTTTTCTATACACTATAATATTTAAATTAAGAACACTTATATCTCATAAAATTTACTAAACAATTTAACTAGACTGACAGAATGCAGTTCAGACCTGGTTTTGTTAAATTACCAAAATAACTCTGTCTTTACCAAATTGACATCTATGTTTCTCAATATAACTTATATTCGTATTTAGGTCCTAATTGACTTGTTAGGCATGAATTGTATCCTTGTTCCTCTTATCATATTAATTTCATGATCAAATGATCATTACTTGACATAACTTGTTACAATTTCCTTGAACACATACTTGATCTCTTGAACACTTGCTTGATTTCCTTGTTTAACCTAACTTGGTATTGAGGGTTATTAGACCCTGAATACATGATTTAAAACTTAATCAGGCCTAAGAGGGTGAGATTAGACCTGATAAGGGGTTGACGTATTAATATTGCTGACCAGTGCAATTCTCAAGAATTAATATATTATTTCACTATTGCTATATTAAAATAAAAATAAATTTTTAATATATTTTTAAAAATATTGGAGATTTTTATTTTTATAAAATTTAATATATTTTTTTGGACACACTGATCAAGTTTTATAAAAATTAATATAATGAGTCTATGACATATTTGGAAGAATTATATAAATTCTTTACTAAAGGGTATTTTCGTTAAAGATATTTATTTTTATCATATCTAGTATTATACAATGTATTATCAAGCACTATATGATATTATCTTATATAATACATTAGCTTATGCAATACCATGCCAAACGCTGGATAATATTAAAATATAATCAGGCCTTATATAATCAGGCCTTATACTATCAGGACTTACCTTATATTGTGCACTAAACATGCCCTTATATGAGCCCATTCTGAGCACGGTTAAACCAGAAGAAAAGAGAGATAGAGAGTGAGATATCTTCAATAGGAAGACGGTCACTATGATGGGCAAATATATCGACAAAAGCTTGTTCGAGCATGTGTCGACCTACATAATCGCTCATGACCTGTGGACGAAGCTGGAGTCCTAAATCCAGAAGAAGAGGCCACATAACAAAGCATACTTGGTGCGCTGACTAGTGAAGCTATACTACAAGGATGGGAAAAGTATGATTGAGCACCTGAACACATACAAGGGGATCGTCAATCATCTGACAAAGATTGACATGAAGATCGATGACAAGTTGCAAGTTTTCTTGCTACCCAACTTGTTGCCTAAGAGCTGGGATATTTTTGTGGTGACGCTTAGCAACTCGGCCCCAAAAAGAAAGATGACACTGGACTCGGTTGCAGATAGCTTGCTGAGTGAAGAGGCTAGGAGGAAAGAATGAGGTATAACCCAACAATATGAAGCAAATGTTGTTGAAAAACGTAGAAAAATGACATGCCAAGGTCGGAGTAGTAGCCGAGGTTGTGACAAATCAAGAGGTCGGTCAAAGCCAAGGCCGGATACTCTCACATGCTTCTATTGTGGAAAATTGGGTCATTGAAAGTCGGAATGCCAGACTTTGAAGAATGATCAAAGGACGGGAAATGTTAAGCCAGATGCGATAGATAATTTGAAGAAGACCGAAGAGAAGAACACCACGGCTGTAGCAGACAAGGCCGAGGTCGATGTCTTCTTGATTGGTGAAGACACCTATCTAAATGTAGCCTATGATGACTATTCATGGGTTGTGGACTCAGGAGCATCCTTTAATGTCACATCCCATAAGGAGTTCTTCTTATCATATCAAGGCGACAACTTTGGTATTGTGAAGATGGGTAACCAGGCTACCAGCAAGATAGTGGGAATTAGGGAAGTCACAATGATGACCGATATGGGTTGTAGATTGGTTCTAAAGAAGGTCAGACATGTTCCTGACATGAGACTCAACCTCATTTCGGCAGGAAAGCTCGATGAAGTCGGGTAGGTAAACTACTTTGGTGGAGGAAGATGGAAACTCGCCAAAGATAGCTTGTTGTAGCCCGAGTCAAAAAAATGGATCTCTCTATGTTATGCAAGGGAAGGTCGGCAATAGAGAGACCAATGTAGTGCAAGATGAATCAAGTTTGGAGCTTTAGCACAGACGAATCGGACACATGAGTGAGAAGTGTCTGCAAATCCTCGCCAAGAAGGAATTATTGCTGAGCTTGAGAGGTCAACTCTTGGAGACATGCACACATTATTTAGCCGACAAGCAATGCCGAGTTTTATTCAAAAGACCAGACCGGCCTAGAAGAAGAAGGTATGCTCTTGATCTTGTTCATACTAATGTGAGTTATATGTCAGAAAAATCTCTAGGTGGTGGGTATTACTTCGTCACATTCATTGATGATCACACCAGAAGAGTGTGGGTGACCTTGCTAAATTTGAAAGACCAAGTACTCCAAGCATTCAAGGATTCCTATGCGAAGGTTAAAAGGGAGATCAACAGAAAGCTGAAGATCATCCGAGCTGACAACAGTAGAGAATACCCAGGTTCATTTAAGATGTACTGCAAGGCGGCAGGTATAAAGCTAGAGAAGACACCTCAATTGAATGGTGTAGCAGAAAGAATGAACTGGACAATTGAAGAACGAGTCTGAAGTATGTTGTCACATGCCAAGCTTCCTAAGACATTATGGGGTATCACCCTCAAGTCCTTTGGAAAGAGACATCTCGGAAGAAGTCTGGACGGGAAGGAAGACAAAGTATGAGCATTTGAAGATATTCAGATGTCATTCATTTGTGCATATTCCCAAGAATGAACGAGCAAAGATTAATGCCGAGACCTAAGAGTGTGTTTATCTCGGCTCACTAAAGAACGAGTTTGGCTATTGTGTTTAGGACCCTGTCAACAAGAAGGTTGTGAGGAGCCGAGATGTAGTTTTCTTGGAGAGTCAGACTATAGAGGACAACCCAAGGTTTGAATAGTTGTTCGTCATGAAGACCTAGTCTCCCCTGTCCGAGCTGAAGTAAGGGGAGAATCCAATCACCAAAACACTAAGAAGGGCGAATAACAAGAAGAGCCACCTACTGAATTGAGATAGATTCAGAACATCCAAAAGTCCGAGATGAAATAGAAGAACCAGGTTCCGAGGAACAACCACAAACTTGGCAATCTATCCAAATTAGTCGCCCTTCCACTAAATATCCTATAGACGAGTACACAATCGTTGCAGAAGAATGAGAGCCTCGGAGTTATGAAGAGGCAGTGACCAGTGCTGAAAAGGAAGAGTGGGAGAAAGCCATGCAATATGAGATTAAATCCTTGTATGAGAATCATGCCTTTGATCTGGTCGAGCTACCAAAAAGAAGACGAGTGTTGGGTTCTCTTGCAGTCTATCGAGGAAAACACATTCGTTCACAAGATTATGATGTTTGGTCCTTTTTACAATCAGTCAGGGGAAACACATTTGTTCCTTAGAATGAAGGTCACTTCGGGCAAGTGCACACATCAAGTAATAAATGAGACTGTTTAAGTCCCAGATTATCATTCCCACGGAGAAAGTATTGTTAACTGATATTTTAAGTTGTGTTAAAGAATAAAAAGAATAAGTTAACACTATTGAATTGTCCTGGTTGACATTCCCAAGTATTCTAAGGGTGTTTTCATGTGACAAATGGTTGAGTTTAACTTCAAACAATTCCTCGCATTGTTATATACTCAAGTCCTTCCTAATATAAGGAGGAATGATAGATAATAGGAATAAATGGTTGAGGTATGGTGTGGTGTGAAACGATATAAAATGCAGAAAATTAAAATGAGCTTTAGCAAAGAATAACACAGTGGTTTGTTAAACGAAACGATAAATTAAAAAAAGGGAGTGGATCCACTAATCCACTATTAAATCAACTAAAATCTTGGCTTAAGACATTGCCCAATGAATTTGTTTAGGTCTCTATAATACCAACTCTGATTCCTCAGCTTATGGGCTAAACGGTGTACGAAGCCCTATATTTCTATGGCGACTTCGTTCCCAACAATGACTCAGTACAGAACCTTCATGAACGAGGTGACCCCTTATTCTTAAGGTGATCACTAAGAGTGTTACTATACTACTTACCTTCCTCCTATTGATCAACTGTCTGAAATCTCTTCCTTATGAAAGTTCCTTTCTCACCTATGGAATTTTGGTTGTCACAAGTGGAAATAATTGTTTTCTGTCAACACACATTGCTTATATGTCCATTTCTATTGATATTTATTTTTTCAATTTTTTATAAAAATGAAATGAATTGTTGAACCTTTTTCAAAATTAACACACTATACAAAGTTTGAGGGTTTTATTTTTATTTTTATTTTTGTATTTTACCAATTAGTTGATGAAATTTTGCTGGATGTAGCCGTTTTCTAGTACATTTAATAAAAAATTAACACATGTAGACCAATTTTAAAACTCAAGTGACAAACCACACAACAAAAGTTTAACGACGTTTATACCGACGAATATAAAATCCATGACCAACTTTAAAAAGCAATATTTCAAATTAACTGGAATTGGCAGTTGATAAACTTTTAAAAAAAAAATAGCAAGAGCGTATTAAAGAAATAAATAAATAGAAAATAAAAATGAAGGAAAAGAAAAAATTGAAAAAAAATCATATTCAGCAGTGTGGAAAAATCTCTTCTAATCAAAGATCGATGCTAAAGCTAGAATGCATAAAAATAAATAAATAAAAAATTCAATTTTGAAGGTTCATAAGTCACAGTTGATTTTGTATAGTTCACAAGACAATATCATTTCCTATAGGAGTCCATTCAGCACTAAGGATTTATTTTGAATTGACTAAAATCTAAACCAGATATACTATTAATATTATGAAATCAAATTACTTGATCACAAAGAATTAATGTTAACAATAACACTGTTGATCCCATACATTACCTACCTTGGATTTCACTAAGAGTTACATTGTTGTTCGAGTTACATTGACTTTTTTGATTGGAATTTATACTTGGAAAATTTTGCTTTTGGACAAATGCAACTAACCCTGGTGGAGGAAGATGTGTAATCTCGCTAATGAGCATCAAAACTACAGTGGATATAGTTGGTCTTTCTCTTGTAAGTTCTTGCACACAAAGAAGTCCTATGTGTATGCACCTCAACATACTACTTTCGAGTAATGGATCCCATATCTCTGTATCTATTAAAGATACTGTATTGTCTTCGTTCCATAGTTTCCATGCCTAGAAAAAACAACAAAACTTTATTATTAAGAATAATAATGAGACCCCTTGTAATTAAGAGGGACATGAGACATGTAGACTTACAAATCCTACAAGGCTAAGCGATTGCTCATTGTTATAGAAGCTAGTGTTTCTTCGTCCACTAACAATCTCTAGCAATAAAACCCCAAAGCTATAGACATCTGATTTCTCTGAGAAGAGACCCTCCATTGCATATTCAGGGGGCATATAACCACTGCAATTATAGCACATAATACAAGTAACTATTAAACCACTCAATATTCTAAGATAATCATGTACAATAGGAAATGAGTACTTACTAAGTTCCAACAACTCTTTTTGTGTTTTCTGCATCATCTTCACCACCCTTAAAAATTCTTGCTAAACCAAAATCTGATATCTTTGGATTCATCTCAGCATCTAATAAGATGTTGCTTGCCTTAAGATCTCTATGAATAATTCTTAGTCTTGAGTCTCTATGAAGATAAAGTATACCTCGAGCTATTCCTTCAATTATATTGAAGCGCTTTCTCCAATTTAGAACTTTCCTTTGGAGTGGATCTAAAAAATAAATCAATACATGAAAGCTATGACAAAATTGAATGCTTTTAGAACGTTGAATAGAAAATAATCATACTTTTTTCAACAACGAAAGTAGCATGTCTCAAAAAGCTTCATTGGCAAAAAAATAAATAAAAAAGTTATACTTAAAACTTCATTCGATTAAAATAAAATCAACGGTTATTAAATGACATACTTTGATTTTGATCTAACAATAAAAGTGATGGTGAGAAAAAAAAAAAGCTTGTAAATATAATTTGTCTTTTATTTATAAACATATATAAAAGTGTGTGAAGTTCATATTTTCTCTCTTCTTCCTCTTTTCTTCACATGATCTCACTTGGGTTATATGTGTATGAGAGATAAAATTATCTCCCACATGAGAAATATATATATATATGGGAAAAATATTTGTCCTTTTATATGACACAACTTATAACATTTCACTCTCACAAAGAAACGAGACCCACACTTTTATTTTATTTTTTTGTCCACTCTCTCTCCCTTTTATCTATCTCTTTATCTCACTTAAAATAACGCAACTTTAAACCCTTTAAAATGATAGACATTTTTTCATAGATAGAAAGCTAAAAGTTTTGAATTTAGAATATGGAGAGGCAAGAACTAACCAAAGATAAATGCATCCAAACTTTTATTTGGCATGAACTCATAAACCAGCATTTGTTCGTCTCGTTCAACACAACAACCAAGAATTCTTACAAGATTGCGATGTTGAAGTTTAGAAATCACCAAAACTTCATTCATGAATTCTTCTAATCCTTGTCCAGAAGCTTTCGAGAGTCTTTTCACTGCAATTTCTTGGCCATCTTCCAATTGTCCCTAAGATAGTGAAAATATTTAATACTGATTTGTACTATAATTAAAAAATATAAAATTGAAGGCATTCCTAAGATAAAGTTACCTTGTATACTGGTCCAAAACCTCCCTTTCCAAGCATATTAGCTAAGTGAAAATTGTTTGTAGCAGTTGCAAGCTTTTCAAAATCAAATAGTGGCAGCTCTTCCAGTTTCATTTGTTTTTTATCACCGATATTCAAGTTTTGAGGCTGACTTCCTGAATGTATTATTGGTCATTGGTTAGCAAACATACATTGTTTGGTCCATTTTTAAATAAATCCAGAATTTTTTTTAAAAAAAAAAGCTTAAAACAACAATAAGTCTATGTTTTCCAACAATGTTTTTTTGGCTCTCTTAAGAATGGTCCTAAATAAGTCTGAACTTAGACTACTATTAAAATAACGAAACCTCCTACAGTTATCATCCCCTGAATTCTGTGTAAAAATATCAAATAATTCATAATATATTGATGTTTGAATATTATAAAATTTGTCATAATGAAATTTATAATATGACAGTTGCTTATATTTAAACATAAGAGATTAATATGCATCAGTTACAGTTGCTTACCCATATTATATTTTACAGATGTTACCAAATTAATTATCCCCTTCACTATTATCAGAACGGACTTGATCGGCTGACCGGGGACCATGGATTGATCATACATTTATGTTATGATAATTTTTTATATATAATTTGTATTAAATTAAAAATTTACATTAAATTAATTTAAATAAATAATAATTAATAACATAAATAATTCTCATCTTAAATTCATGTAAATTAAAAGAATACTAAAATTACTGTGATGATAATTTAATGATTGATTTTTTTCTTTATTTATTTGTTTTCAAAACAAAACAAAAATATTGGAGACTTTTTTTAAATAACATCTCTTCAGAAGTATGTTATGTTATTTATTGTTAAAAAGAAGTATTTGCAAAATATATATTTTTTTAACCATTAATAAAAATATTTTATAATCAATATTATAATATATATTGAAATTAAAGTGAAAAATAGCATGAATATATTTATTATTAATGCGATATCCGTTGTGCACTCAACCAGTATTAAACACTATTGATGGTAGGCAACAACATTTACCATTAGATTACAAGGACTTTATTACTAAAAATATTTATTATTATATTTATTACATAGTTATATATAAATCCGGTTTAACTATTGCACTGATGACTCGTTAATTGATTCAATCAAATCACCTATTCAAACTTAATTACACTGGTCCCCGTTATCTTTATCTTCACCTTCCCCCCACTTTGCCTTTAATATTTTTTTTTTTTATTTCATTTTAATCCAACAATAGCCGTCCATTTGTGAGGTTTATGCACATTTATCATTTTCATGGAAAAAATTACACCGAACATGATGACGACTAGTCAACGACTGAGTTTCCAAAGCACATGCAATAATTCAATATTCACGGCGCAAACAGTAAACCATTTCTTGTGGCTACACCTATTCATAGTCCATCTTTGTCGCATTATATTGGAAGATTAGTGGCTATACATATTCGTTTCAAAATGTCAAGCAATTAATTATTTTCGTTGTCCCCTCTTGGCATAGTGCTTAACCATTAAGTTCAAAGAATTTCTTCCTCTACTTTAAGAACGTTGATTTTTGTTTATCCCTTTTTTTCTCTACATGAATCGAGTACATCATATCTACGGTTAGCAACTAAAAAAACTGTTGGTTTGATTGAAACTCTAAGATGCAATCCTAATAGAAGAGATCAAATCAATTATATTCTATTTGCATGATGCACATCCAAAATGTTGAATTTAGTTTAAGCATGAATTTTCTTTTTCTCCTCCTACGGCCTAAGAGAATGAAATCAATGATCCAGTAACACATTACAATACCCTCCCTACCTATTTATTTTGTTCGACTACCCTATTGAATTTGCACAAGAAAAATGTGTGGAGGAGGGATCAACTTACAATTCACACTTATTATTAACTATAGGTTTTACTTGAATGAAATATTTTTAATTTTTTTTGCAAATGAGAATTCACTTGAACATTTAGATGCAAGTAGCTAGAGTAATGGGTGCAAAAATTGTTATTGTTACTAGTGTGTGTTTTCCCTCCTCAAATGTGAATGTCCTTGAATTTACGTGTGAAATGGTAATAAAGCAATTTTAATTACCTGTATGCTTAGGAGTCCATTTCCGCCACAAAAGATATGCACACACTGCTAAAGCAAAAGTTCCAACTGACCCTGTAATGGCCATGATTAGTGTCTTGTGTCCTCTTCCCTTTTTCCCTCCTGTAACTGTTTGTTATTCAGCACATTAGAATAGAAGCAAAAACAAGTTAAACAACTTTGGTCCCTGCCTTGTTGGATAACATGTCAAAATAAAGATTCATAAAAGGAAAAGTAAGAAAAACATACCAAGTTCAGATTGGGGCACACGAATGAAGAGATCAACTCCTCCATATGGAAATTTCTGCAAGTCAATTAAGTCTCTACTCCAATACATGCAGCCTATATAAGAATCATATGCATAAGCCAAGCAAGAGCAATTTGCTAAGCAATCTGTTCCACATTTTTCTTGGTTACCATCTGATCTCTCTGCAAAGTCAGGAACTTTCATATTATGAAACACCAAAAACCCATCTTTTTGTATTGCACTTCCATTGTTCAACTTGGAACACTCAAGTGGTGCAGTTCTCTCACATCCACTAGTCCAATTTTTCCTATTCCATTCCTCTGAATTCCGAGGCTCAAACCCTTGAAAACAGCTGCAAATTGGAGAGTTTAAAGGATCACAATTTCCAAATGGCCCGCAAGTGCCATAAAAATCACACTTATTCTGATCTACCTCAAGAGTCAGAATTTCCTTCTTGTTCAAAAACCTTACATATTTCAGTGTGCCATGTGGAGTCAAGGAAAGGATTCCAAAGGTAGAAGGGTCTCCATAAATGTAAGTTAGATAAACAGTTCCATCATCATCATGATCTAAACGCCACCCATTTAGATACTCAGTTAACATCCTTGGTGACCCAATGAAGACCCTTCCATTCCATGGACCAGTTCTCCAATATGGGCGAGTTTTATTGAACCAAAAAAACACTTCTGGAGCATCCAAGCGTTCAAGGCTACCAGTGAAGTACCCAGTAGAAGGATCAGAATTGCTTTTCCATGATATATACTCTATTTTCTTACCTGTAACTCTGTTTGTAGCAATTTTCATCTGTGGCACGGCCTCACCTGCTGGATGTGTGAAACTGTCCCATATTGTTACTCCACTTGTATCATCTCGAAGGACCAGATTTCCAGAATCTTCAAGTTGAGCACTTGAATTGGTAACATTACTTGTCAAATTTGTTGACCATATGACAAGATTTTTCCCATTCAATACTACAAGATTGCCACCCTTAAGAATTTTGACAACACCAGAAGAATCTTTAAGGGGTTGATCTCTATTAGCTATCCATATAATGTAGGATTCAGAGAGATACCAGATTGCTACATAGCGATTTGTTGAATTTTCAGGGCTGAAGAATCCTAGCTTGAAGTCACTGTTGTTTGAGCTTATTGTCTCATGGTCTCTGATGGATCTGGTTGATGTAATAGTATCATTCATCAAGCTCAAGCCCAAGCCCAAACAAAAGCTGGAAAATATGAGCAAAGTAATCAGTAAGTAATTAGTATGAATTAGAAAACCCATAAATCTAATGAATTGATTGTAGCAGAAATGTGGATATCTTAGTGTGGTTTTGATGATATTCTCTCTGTCTTCTTGAGGAATACTAGTATTACTTTGGGTTTGATGGGGTGCATCCCATGTTCCCAACAAAATTAATGTTGAAGTTGGTGTTGAATTTTAGAGCTATGCACTAAGACACCCTCTTGAGCTTAGTTGACTTTAGTTTTGCCTAAACAATGCTAATCACAAAGGAAGAAATTTTCTTTTTCATTATTGGCATTATTTTATTCAAAAGCCAAAACAAAAATAAATAAATAAATAAATAAATAAATAAAGGAACTAAGACGTTCATAAATCAAGACTTGTTAGAAGTACCATCCGTAGTACAATGAATAATTATAATTTAATGGAACTTTTTCTTTTAAGCAATTCCTAGAAGTGCATTTCTAAATTTAATCCTACAAGTGAAATTGAAAATGGCTACCCTGCATTTGTAAAAGGGGTCAATTTTAGTGATCACAACATTTGGAAGCCAAGAGACACATGCCCTGTTATTTGAGGTTACTTTTTCATGGTATTGGTCTGATTTAACTATATTGATTGATATGAAAGCTGGGAGTTGGAAAGTCTGAATCTATTGGGTTAGTTTCGATTTTATATTGTAACTAGAAATGATCTTAAAAAATCTAAAATTACTTTTACAGACCATGATTAATAAAATAGCCAAATTATTTGTGACTTGGTAGTTGGTGATACAACTATACATGAAGGGGCCAGTTTCAATATGGATCGGAACGAGCAGTGATCCGGTTTCCAATTCAAGTAGTTGCACCTAGGGGTGTAAATGGGCTGAGCTTTAGCCATTCTGCCTCAAGCCTACGTTAAAAAAAAATTCAGCTTATTAAAGGCTTTATTTGTAGGCCAAGTCCGGTCCATTTTCAAAAATAAGAAAGCCTGACATGGCCTACAGGCCTTGTAGGCCTCCCACTAAATATACTAATTAAGCAAAAAAAATAATCGTATAGAGCAAAGACAGTTCCATTCATGCATGCACTAGTACTTCTCGTAAAAAAAAAATGACAAACAATAAAGAGTCAACATAATACCTCAGCTCTAGAATGTATATCATATAGAAATAGAATCAAAGAAATGGGAAAAATAAGAAAAATACAATTACTGGATGCTGAAATAAAGTCTACAAGAGAATGTTATTCATCTAAAAATCTTTAAACCACCATCAAGACAAGGGAAAGAAGAGTATTATTGAAAGATCTTCATCAGTAACATCATAATCCAGCAAGGTACCCCATTGCTACATGGTATTAAGCTGCAACAGCATGTAAAATTTGGAGACATTAGACAAGTTTTCCTTTCATAAAATAAAATAGCACAAAAAGTAAGAGATATTAGTATTTGGTACTTTGTGTCTTTGCCACATAAAATAAGTATTATTTTATTTTAATAAATTAAAGAGGTCAGCCTACAAGGCTGTAGGCCAGACTTGACAAAATTGACCTATGGCCTATTTATTAAAAAATCTTTTTTATAAGCCTAAATCTACTCTACTTTTCTGAAAGGCCAAGCCTGAGCTGAGCTCAGTGTAAGCCGGACCGTAGGCTGGGCTGGGCCAGCCTGGCCCATTTACACCCACCTAGTACTTTCTCTCCTTTTACCTCCTCAACTGTTCCAACCTGCCACCTCAGTATTAAGTGAGTCTTATCAGATTCATTTGAATACTGTGATGTAAATTTTTTTTAAAATAGATTTATATAATGTTTTTAACTATTAAATTTCATTTAATAAAATTAATTTTGTTATGTTTAGATTGTTTTGAAAAATATTAAAATTTACCTTAAAATATTTTTTTTTATTTTGAAAATATTTCTAAATTTTTTTTATTAAAAACCTAAAATTGATGGTTACAATATAAAATAATTTTGAAAATCTTAAACAAATAACTATTATTACATATATATATTTTTTGTGGTTGAATTCGTTTAAAAAATAGAAAGTCAACAAAAGACAGTCAATTATTAAGCCCGTATGACTTAGCTTAAATCAATAATTTATTTGTGGAACTTTGGAATATTGCCTGTCATGTCAAGTCTTTGTCTTCTTTGAGACGCAGCACTTTCTCAGTGGTGCACCTTGGCTTAGCTGAGTTTCAACATTCATGTCATGAATATCTTTTCGTAACATGGAGTTTTGGTTCCATCTCATCTCACCGCCCATTAAGGGTTGAAACCAATGTTATCACTTATCTGAATCAATTCGTTCATTAACATGAGGTATTGGATCGTTGAATCATTTCATCGATTGAATCGTATCATCTGAGTTACTACATAAAAATTTATATTTAATACATAATTTTTTTTAAAATATTCAAATGTGTACAGAAGATTGTTAATTTGTTATATTGAGCTGCAAGTATATATAATTTTTGTAGGGATAAAAAAATTATCTATTATAAACTATATAAATAAATAAAAAATAATATTCAAGTATCAGGAAATCATATGTAATTTCTCTACCAAATATCTTCAACTAACAATGTTTAATAATTATAAGGCATTTATCAATAACTTTTTCCATAAAAATAAATTTGTAAGGAATCAATATGTCACATCCTCTTAATTTACTATTCCACAAATTACTTCAGTCTTGAAAGCTAAAATTTGATGATAATGTAGGAGAATATACTACAAGTAAATGAAACTACAAAAGTTTTTTAAAAGAGTTCCACACTTTTTCTGACAAGACAAGACAATTTTTATTTTTGGTGGTTTTTTTTTCTTAATGCATAACCCAATTTTCATGACCCAATTGGATCATCGATTTTGATCGGACTTGATCAGGTCAAATACTTAATTCGAATTGGTCTGATTACCAATTCACCAAATTTCGGATTGAGCTGGACAATCCGAGCCGGGTCTAATAACACCGATGGAAACATTTAGGGTGTGCATGACAACCTTCTTTAATTTTTTTTTTTTAATTTTTGTTTTCAGGAACAGAAATGGATAGAAAACTCGTTTGGTAAAACTGATATATTTTTTTGTTCCTGGAATGAACCGATTTAATTTTTATGCTGAGGAACAGAAAAAAAAAATCAATTTTTTTTGTTTCTTTGTTCACGGACAAAAAATGAGAAACACTCGTCTCTCTCAATAACTCTCCACCACCACCACCCCCCATCATCGTCGTTGCCGTCGTCCACCAATGATGTTGTCACCACCACTACCATCATCCTGACATGACCACCGGCACCATCGCCTCCGCCGTCATCACCACCAACACATTGATGCCTCCCACCTCCACCTATCGCCACCATCATTACCACCATGCCACCGTCACCGCCACCATCGACCACCACCACTGCCGTCACCACCACCACCACCACCATTACCATCATCGCAGTCATTGTCATCATCACCACCACTATCATCACCATGCCATCACCACCGCCACCACTACCATCACCACCACAGTCACTAACCACCGCCACCATCGTCGCAGCCACTGCTATCATCACACCACCACGCCGTTGCCACCGCCACCACTATCACTAACCACCACCACCATCGCTGCAGTCACTGCCATCACCACGCCACCACCTTCGCCGCCACCACCACCACCATTGTTGCAGCCACTGTCATCATTACCACAAGTCACAACATGCCATTATTGTAACATCTCGGGCGCTGACGAGGGCATGGAAAGATTGCTGGTGCGCAAGGGCACAGACAAGGAGCGGCTCCTGACAGGCTTCCAGAGGCGGGGGTACATGAATGAATCGAATCAACACCAGAAAGAGAGGGATTTCAGAGACTGCTGGTATGGGACGGTACAATTGAGAATAACTTATAAGAATTAATTGGTACTACCTATACTAACAAGAAGCATATACTTTTCGGTAGCCCGGAATGGAAGAACTCCACAGTTAAGCATGCTTGGCTTGGGGCAATTCTAGGATGGGTGACCTCTTGGGAAGTTTTCCCGGGAAGTGTGCGAGTGAGGACAAAGCACGCTGAAAAGTCTTGTGTTAGTATGTGGGGACAATCGTTGATTCTTGAAGCAGCTAGGAGTTACAAGTGGTATCAGAGCAGGGCCTCTTTTCTAGTATGGTGTGGTTCGAGGACGAACCAGGCGAAAGCTGGTGGGCATGTAACATCCTGGGCGCTGACGAGGGCATGATGTGAAAGGGCACAGACAAGGAGCGTCTCCTGGCAAGCTTCCAGCGGCGGAGGTACATGAATGAATCGAATCAACACCAAAAAGAGAGGGATTCCAGAGACTGTGCTGGTATGGGATTGTACAGTTGGGAATAACTTATAAGAATTAATTGGTACTACCTATACTAACAAGATGCATTTACTTTTCGGTAGCTAGGAACGGAAGAACTTCACAGTTAAGCGTTCTTGACTTGGGGCAATTTTGGGATGGGTGACCTCTTGGGAAGTTTTCCCAAGAAGTATGAGAGTGAGGACAAAGTACGCTGAAAAGTCTCGTGTTAGTGTGTGAGGACAGTCGTTGATTCTTGAAGCGGCCGAGCGTTAAAATTATCACCCACTAGTCCACTACCATCGTCACCACTACCGCCGCTGCCACCATAATTACCACCATTGTCGCAGCCACTGTCGTCACCACAATCACCATGCCATCACCACCACTCTTGTCGCAGCCACTACCGTCACCACAATCTCTATGCCATCACCACTACCATTGTCGTCGCCGCCACCACCACCACCACACCATATGAAAAGAAAAATGATAATTCAAATTTTTTAATGCTTAATAGAAATTATTTCTTATTATATTATTTGTTGTGTTATCAAACATACTTCTCATTTTTGGAATAAAAATAGAACATGTTATCAAATATATATTGTCTCATAAACTGTTACAGAGCACAAAAATAGAAAAAAAAATTGTTTTTTTTTTCATAAACAATGTTAGGGAACATAATAGTTGTCATGTACACCCTTATTATTTAAAAGTATTCCGAGTTTCGGACACTTATTACACACGACCTATTCGTGAAGATTTATTTTGTTGCTCCCGGCTCACAAAATATTGAGTGAGGCAAAAGAGAAAGAGTGAAAGAGAGATTGAAAAAAGAAAAAAAAAAAATCTATCTATTAGTCCTTTAATGGAAGGAC